TATCTTAACGATTATTACACTTGAATTAAATATAAAACTTGTAACTTTCAGATGAACCGATTTCGATCAGACAACAGAAGAAGGTAGCATTCGACGTGATGGAGCCAGCGGAGATATCCTGCCGAGTGCAGGCCTATCCTAAGCCCGACTTCCTATGGTTCTACGGCTCCAGCAACTCTCCACTGTCGTCATCTGACCACTACGACATCACAACAGTTACTGAAGACAACGATTCATACTTGAGTACATTAAAATTAAGAAACGTGAAGCCTCAAGACTACGGCGACTACTACTGCACTGTGAAGAACTCACTCGGGAGTATTCGGCCTCAAATACGAATGCAGCCGAAAGGGGCTCCTGAGTCACCTCGAGGGTTGAGCAGTCAAAAGGTTGGGTCGAGTTACGTGACCCTGAAGTGGGAGTCGGGTTTCGACGGTGGCCTCTCCAACATCTACTACGTGTGGTACCGGCGCGTGGCGCGCGGCGCGGGCTCCGTGGAGCAGTGCGCCGGCAACCGCAACGATGTCAACGATTGGAAGGAATACGACTGTATGCGGGCAAATCCCTGCAACGTGACGCGGTTGGACCAACACAATACTTACTCTTTCAAGGTAATTGCAATTTAATAACAATCCTTCGTACAATGCTGAATTATTAATTTTTGCTATATTATGCAGAAACATGAAAATAAGGTGATTACTTTTGGAACGTATTTAATGTGCATAAATATCAAGATAAAAAGCATAAGATCGTACTTTATGGTAATATCGTTTTGTGCTGCACGGTGTTCAATGCTAAATTGATTTACTCTTATCGCACATACACGAGTACATGAGAATGTTAGTAAGTTATAAATGTTCAAATAAAAAAACTCTACGTAAATACATTGCGTTTGGAAACAAAACTAAGATTGAGTGTTAAATTGAATAATTAGTAAATTTACCATTGTTCTTCCGTAATTTCCAGGTGAAAGCAGTTAACACGAAGGGTCAGAGCAACTATTCAAATGAAATAACAGTGACAACGAAAGTGAACAAGATCCTCCCCCCGGAGCAGCTGACGTACGACCCGAGCTCGCGCGCGGTCGTGTTCAGCGTGGGCCCCACCTGCCTCGGCCTCGTCGCCGTCGCTGAGGGCCTCGGCAGGGCCGGCGGCTGGCAGGTCACTTGAATAATAATCATACTTCATACTAATATTATAACTGCGAAAGTTTAGATGGATGGATGGATGTTTGTTAGAGTTTGTAGCCTAAACGGCTGAACGGATCTCGATGAAATTTGGTATAGGTGTAGAGGATAGTCTGAAGGA